ACCGCCTTTTCCCTCACCAGTCCGCGCACGGTCCACGGCCTCCAGGGCCTCCGGGGTGCACCGACCGAGCCAGGCTCCAGAATGCCTACCTTTGTGTACATGAACGGCCACCTGACTGACATCATTGTCGGTCCGCCCCCGCCGTCCCCGAGGTCGTCCCCCGGCCCCCGCCTCCCCGCCACGCCGCCCCCGCTGCCCCGGCTGCCCCGCTCGCCCCGCGCCGCCCCCGGCCGGGGGCCGTCGCGGTCGCGCAGCTGGTCGCACGGCTCCCTCGCCTCGGAGGGGTGGCGGTCGGAGCCGGGGGCGGGCAAGGGGGCGGCGGGGGCGGCGGGGGAGGCGGCGCACTACCTCCACCCCCTGGTGCTGCACCGCCCCCGGCCGCACCCCCGCCCCCCGCCCCGCCACCACGCCCCGCGAAGGACTACCCTGCGGCTGCACATCCAGCTGCACCGGCCGCTCGCCAGGAAAGCTCGACGCAAGGTAAGGCTGGAGGCAGGCAGTGCAGGATGCTGATGATGGCAGGGGCAGTGTGTCCAAGCGAGCGGACAGGACAGGGTGCTGCACCATCTTCTCGCTCCTCTTCACGAATAAAACAACAACAACAACAACAAGAAATGACAGGGGCCGTCAGCAAACCACGTTGGCCGACCGGTACACGGGAAGTGGGGCGCAGAGCGGCGCGTGGGCGCTGGCAGTGGCGTGGCGGCGTGGCGGCCCCTCTCAGATTCGCCGAACGGTGGATTCAGATTCGCGCCCCGCTGCCCCCTCTCCCCGTCGCGACTTGAGCCCCGCCCCGCCCCGCCCCCCTCTCCGCGCCGCGCATTGAGCTATTGAGGTCTTTGAGTCCACCGCGGTGCACTGGGCCGCACTGAATGGACTGGGCCGCGCGCGCTGCGCGTGTTCTCAGGGCCGCGCCCCGCCCCGCCCCGCCCCGCCTTGGCTTTGGGGCACTGGCCCCGTTGGCGAGCGTGCACCTCGTGTCCCCGTGTGTCCTTATGCCCTTATCGGATGGGCAGAAAGGAGCCGATGGAGGCGGCTTCGGTTCGAGGCGAGGCTATATCTCGCGGAGCACCTCCGCCGATTCGGGCCATCGCCCCGCCCCGCCCCGCCCAGGGCATCATGACTTGGCGGCGCATGACTCAACGAGGATTACCGCACGGACGTGCGTGTGGACCATGGACACCACGGTGCGGACCATGGTGTGGACGAGCGAGGGAGGTCCGAAGTGGTCCGGAGGGTACAGCGGCCTGCCGGGGCCTGCCGGCCCTAGGTGACTCTTTTTCTTGTTCCCCTGATCCTGGGTGACTAATTGGTCGGGAGGGCGGCACGGCCGCTTTGGTGTCTCGGCCTCGGTGTCCAGGTGGAGGAACGGGCGGCCTGCCTTCGGCCTGCCGTCGGCCTGCCCGCGACGGAGACACGCTTTTCGAACGTCCTTGCATCGCTTCAAGACCTTCTGTCCACGAGGAGTCCTCTTTTTGATCGAATTGGCCAACAAACACGTTCCAAGTCCCAGCAGCAGTCGATTTGAGTCGTTTTTTTGTGAGATTGTTGTTTTTTTTGTCTTAGGACCACTTTTTGATTTCATCTGTTCTGTATGGGTCGTTAATGAAACAGGTTGCAGGAGTTTGAGCGGGAGCGCCCGGCCGGGTTGCGCTTTTTTTTTTTTAATGTCCTGAACTGGAGCACGCCACTCGGTTTCACTGTGTTTCGCTCCGAACGGCGGTATCTTGCTCAAAAAGTGACTTGCAGTAACGGCGCGAGGCAGGCGATGACGTGAACCGACGCCGTAAAAAGGGCTTCGTTCTGCTTCATTAATTAGCCCAAAATCAAAATCGGGCATCTCGCCGTCGGACGCCTTGACGGACGCACTGGCGCACCCTGACCCGCCTACCCTCGGAGGATGAATCTCCGATACGAAGCTGCGATATAATCACCAAGAATATGCCTTTATGTTTCTCGGGTTCACACTCCGACTCTGTAGAAAACAAGTTTACGTCAAGACGACTGAAATTACGTTGATCCGCCATTGTTCAAACTGACTCGACTAAAAAACAGTTTTCATCGTGATTTTTGCGTATCAGAGTACGAAACAATTTTTTTTTTTCAAGAGTGAGAAATAAAACGAGGACGTGTTTCGGACAGTGTCCCTGCTGGCGTCGGTCAGACGTGCGCCGCACTAACACACTCATGATGTAAATGTGATTGTGATGCCGCGTCGTTGTAATTATAACAGCATTTTCTTGGCGCCGAGCGCGCGGGGCGTTCCAAGGGCGTTCCAAAGGCGTTCCGAGGCGTTCCAAAGGCGTTGCAAAGGCGTTCCAAAGGCGTTCCAAAGGCGTTCCAAAGGCGTTCCAAAGGCGTTCCAAAGGCGTTCCAAAGGCGTTCCGAGGCGTTCCAAAGGCGTTCCAAAGGCGTTCCAAAGGCGTTCCAAAGGCGTTTCGACCAAGGCGCTGCCAAGGCGTTCCGAGGCGTGCCGGACAAAATAACACACGTCCGCCCCGTGACGTCGTCGCCGCCGCCACCTAACTGCCGGTGCAGAAATGGACGTTCATTTGGAGGCTTATTTCTTCCTGTGCCTCGCTCCGTCTCTCTCGCACTCGCGGGGCGTCCCGTAGGCGTGCGAGAGGGACGGCGCGAGCCCTGGCTGGTCATTATCGCAGTTCGGGGAGGCAGGCCGAAATCTCGACTGATGGGGTGTGTGCATGAGATGCCCCCGGCCCCCCGGCAGTGTGGCGTCGACCCCAAGACTCGATAAAAAGACAGACAAAAATAAAAGTTGCTTAGCGTGTCCGACATTTTCCTCGGTTTGGATCAGTCAAATAAATTCGCCGCCACAGTCTTGTTTTGCATCTGACCGTATCTGAGACGCGGACGGAAAACTGGATTTCTGGTTGCGCCGTTCCCGCCAAAACATCTCGGCTGCGGGAGTCGTTGTGCGAAGGCGGCGCAGGCGGCGCAGGCGCAGCCCCACTGCGAAATGACGCACCGCCGACTCATTTTCCTCCCTCGCTATTCCCATAGTGAACCAAAATTTTCGCTGTCTCAACAAATGTGTTCCTTTCTTTCTCATTTTTTTTGTGCATCCCATCCCATCTGATCCCGTCCCGTCCACCAGGGGTAGCCGTCGTCCAAGCGATTATAAGGGAATCTTGGGCCCCTGCCCTCCTCCCCCCCCCCCTTCCCCTCCACTGCCCCTCCCATGCCCCTCCCATTCCTGGGGCCCTGGAATGTGGGCCCGGCGGCCCGGGACCTGCCCCCCCGCCCCCCTCTGAGGCCCCTGCAGACCCCCACAGGTCTCCGGAGGCCCCCGCAGCCCCCCCCCCCCCCGAACCACCACGCACACCTCAGCAAAGCCAGCAAAGCCAGCAAAGCCAGCAAAGCCCCCCAGACAGATTGGTAAACAAGCGGGCTGGATTGTTTTGCTGCCACACCGACAATTTTTCATCTCGTTTTCCTGCGTCTGTCGTCTCATCCTGCGGAGCGTCCGATTTGGCGCGCGGTTTGCTTTTTCGACTCACGGCCGATTTACAGTGCACGCACGGCAACAGCAACAAGTTGGTGTTATTCTAGCGCACCACCCTTTTTTTTTTCATTATCTTCGGCCCATAATCCTGGTGGCGCTGCCGGCCCCGCGCGTCGCCGCGTCGCGCCAACGACGTACTAATAACCTGACCTAACCTAACTCGTTCCCATCCTGCCGCTCTCCTTTGCCTTTCGTGCGGGTAATTCAAGTGGACTCGTTTTCCCTTTATTATTCCAATCCCTCGCCTCTGACTCCTCCTCGCGGCCGAAAACCTCTCCGGTCACAGGCGGCGTTTGTTGTGCTCGTCCACGTGTGGAAAATCCGTTTACATTGGAAATGCTTTTGGATCGAGTTTGTTTGTGTCCGAGTCGAGGTCTGTGTACGTCCAGAGACGTGCGCGCGCGCGCGTGTGTGTGTGTGAGAGAGTGTTTGTGTGAGTGTGACGCGGTTTGCACGGGTAGCAGTAGTTTTCCTGCTAGTTTATCGCCCGACTCATCAAGTTTCCCGGTCCAGAATTAGAATACCGGCACCATGATGTCGCCTTGAGTGAGATGAGCGATGCGGCGACAGGCAGCCGTAGGTGGCCGCAGGCCGGCCAGCAGCCTCGGAGTCGTTTTCGTCGCTCTGTCTCCCTCGCACTCGTGGGGCGTCCCGTGTAGGTGCGAGAGAGACAGAGCGACGCAGACGACTCTCGGAATCAGTCTGCAGGCACACGAGACTCGATAAATACCACGCCGCTAATCACCGCGGATTGGCTGTCGTTAATTTTTCAATGGGGCTCCGCGAATCGGATCGGCGGAGGGGGGGCACAGTGGGCCAGAAACAGGTGGAGGCGGCCAAAACTCTAGACGCGTTTTGAGCTCCAGAGTCGCTAAATGGGACTCGAACCGAACGTGTGACCCCACCAATGGATTGCTCTCCGAACGAGGAATCCAATGGTGGGGTCACACGTTCAGTTTGAGTCCCGTTTAGCGACTCTGGAGCTCAAAACGCGTCTAGACTTTTGGCCGCCTCCACCGGTCTTCTGGCCCACTGTGCGGCGGGGGGGGGGGGGGGGAGGCTGCTCAGGATGCTGGAGTCGAGGCACTCCCCGGTGACCCTTGACCTTGGGCTGCCCGTTCCACCAAGTCCGTCTGCTCCGCGCGGCGCGGCTGTTGTGACGGGGCGTGACTGCCTCGTCACGTCAGCACCGCGTGTGACGGTCACGTGACGGTCACGCCAAGGATGTTGCCGACGGATGTACTACCGCCAAGCTTCCGGCGCAGTCGGTCGCAGACGCGAAACAAAGCGCGAAAAAAAAACTACAAGAAAAACAACAAAACGCGAGCAAAAGCAAAACGGCGGAGAGGAAAACATGTTTTTCTTTCCCGCGCGCTGGAAGACTGGAAGGTGGAAACCTTATCAGGGCCTGACTAATGTGTGCAACCCGCTGCCGAGACTCGAAGCTCACGCCATATTTGTCTGTCTTCTGTTGCAGGTCCAGCGGCTGGTCAAGTTCGAACAGGTGAGCGCGCGTGGACGCGGAGGGACTCCAGGCTGGGACGCCGCCGGCGAGGTAGGCAACCCATCGTGCGGCCGTGCGCGGCGGTTCAGGGGTTCGCGCGCCGTGACGCTGCGGCTGCCGCCTTGACCGCCAGCGCGCTCTGTCGGCGCGCGGCGGCGGGCTGCGGAACCACGGCGCGCTGATCTGCGCTGTGCTGCGCTGTGCTGCGCTGTGCCGTCGACGCCACGCTGCGGACTCGGCCACGCGGTTCACGCTCGCGGACGTGAACACGGCGGGGCCGCGCGGTCTACATGTGTCTGGACGCGTCCCTAGAACAATGTCCGCCACTTACCGGACCGGGGCGGGTCCCGGGTCGGGTGCTGAAGCCTGGACGAGCCCGGCCGGCCATCGGCGCTACAGTGGCGTTGCCTCAGGCGTTGCCCGGGGCTTTTTATTAGCCCCTTTATTTGTGTTTTTACTGCCCGTGCCTCGCTCTGTCCGGCAGGGCGCGCGGCAGGTGTAAATCCACGCCGCATTCCCCGGCCGATGCACCGCGCAACGCGCAACGCGGCCCTCGTGCCTTCGGCCACCTCGGCCACCTCGGCCTGCCGGGCAGTGCACTGCCGTGGGGCGCCAGCGACGGCCGAGTTCTTTTTGAACGGGTCTCTTGTTTTTGTGGCTCGCCAGCGCGTGCGAACGTGGAGAAAAACATGATTTCGGTTTGGCTCGGCAGGATCGCTGGCAGGACCTGCGACGGTCGTCCGACGGCCAGGATGCCGCCCAGGAGGCGGAGAGGGCGGCGCAGGCGCGGGGACACCACCAAGCCAACGGGGACCTTGACCGCGTGCAGGGCATGTTCCCGCACGACACCCTGCACCTGTACGACGAGAACCCCCTGGCCATGGTAAGCACAACTCCAGACGCGTTTTGAGTCGCTAATCAGAACCCGAACCGAGCGTGTGACCCCACCAATGGATTACTCTTCGAACGAGTAATCCATTGGCGGGGTCACACGTTCGGTTCAAATCCCATTTAGCTACTCTGGCGCTCAAAACGCGTCCGGTAATTTGACCGCCCCCACCGGCCTTCTGGCCCGTTGCACATTTCACGTGCTAAGTTGCCGTTTCTCTTGCAGAAGATCAAGGGGCTCATGTCGCGGCGCAACAGCCCGGCCTCCAAGCTGTCGCGCGCCCTGTCCACCAAGTCCGTGCGCCCGGAGGACGGTGCGCCGGGCCCGCCGGGCCCGCAGGCACCCGGTGGCGGGGTCGTCCTCGGCGGCGTCGTGGCGCCGGCCTCCGCGGACGCGCTGGCCGCGCTGCCCAACGGCGACGCCACCAAGCTGTCCCCCAAGCTGCGACAGTTCATCATGGAGGCGCCGGCGCAGTTTACAACGGTGAGGACCATATAAGCCGCACGCCGCCGACGCCGCCGGCCTGCGGACCGATGCCGGAGAGTGCCGCTCTGTCTCTGTCGCTCCCACGGGGCGTGCCGGCGTGCCGCAAGGGTGCGAGAGAGACGGCGCGACTCTCTTCGGTGGCGGCTGTGTGGTCGGCCGGTCGGGTCAGGCAATAAAGCAAGGACAACAGCGTGAGAACGGCTGTCCTGTCGGTGTCGCTTGTCGCTCTGCTTGCGGTGCACGCCACTGTGTGCACGCCGGTGCACTGGACGCGGCGCCGCAAAGCAAAGCAGAGTGTAAACAACAACAACTAAAACTTTGTCGCCGCGCCGCTGTCCTGCTGCAGGGGGTGCAGGGCCAGGAGCGCCACCTGTTCCTCTTCTCGGACGTGCTGCTGGTGGCCAAGCCGCGCAGCCCCGGCCACTTCAAGCTCAAGGACAAGGTGCGCGTGGCCAGCCTGTGGCTCACCGCCGACCCGCGCGCCCTGCAGGACGTCTGCGAGGTGGACAAGTCCACCGAGACCTCCTTCGTCCTGGGATGGCCCACCACCAACGTGGTGGCCACGTTCAGGTAAGCCTCCTCCTCCTCCTCCTCCTTGTTGTTGTTGTTGTTGTTGTTGTTGTGCCGGCCGGAAAGGGGTAAACTCGAATGGGCGGCAAGCAAACAACAGCGTCTGCGCTCCATTTTTATTTTTTGTTGTTGTTTCGCCCCTTATTCCTTCGCCAAGGTGACTTTACCTGCCGAAAGGGCTGGGAGCAATCAGGGACTCGGCATACGTACGGCGTGCCTGCGTTTAGCCTCGTTGCCACCGAAAAAAGGGATAGGGCGGGCCGACGGGATCGGGAGGTGCACGGCGGTGCCACGCCACGCCACACCTCGTCCAATCCCAGAATCCCCTCACGGAAGAATTTCCCTCGATAGGCCCGTGTCCTCTCTGTGCGCATCGGTGCGTTCAATCTATGCGTCTGTCTGTCTCTCTCCAGCCAGAGTGCCTTACGATCATATCTGGCCCCGATTTGTGTGCGAGTGAGAGCGCGCGGCCGGAGTGGAGTAGGTCCTGTAGATAGACTGAAAGGGAGAGACGGCGGGCCCGCCGGCTTGATGCACTAGTTGTCCACCGCGGTGCCGATAGCGCGGCGGGCGGCGCCACGGCCTCGTCGCCGTCCTCGTCGTCCTCCCCGTCCTCCTCGTCGCCTCTTCGACGCCGTCCTCGTCGCCGAACCGGGCCATTGACTCCGTTTGCGCGGACGCTTCCGGTCAGCGGGAGGCGACCGTTATGAAAGGAGCCCCACCCTGCTGGGCCACTGGCTGGGCGCGCTGCGACGACAGTCTGGCAGGCAGGCAGATGCCCAACAGTGTCGCTCTGTCTCTCTCGCACCCTCACGGCACGCCCCGCGAGTGCGAGAGAGACAGAGCGACACCGGCCCCGCCCTGCCCCGCCCACACGGCGGCCCCGCCGGACCCGGCCCGGACACTGGGTGACACCCCGACCCACCCCGACCCCCGGTCGGCGCCAGCAGCGCGTCGGCCCCGCGCTCGGAGGCGCCAGTGCGGTTTGGCCCGGCAGTGCAGGTACACTGGTACACCCCCGCCCAAAGTAGACAAGACAAACAACCGGTGGCGCGGCGCGGCGCGGTGGTCACTACAGTGTGGGTACAGTCCCGGCCCAGGCCCAAGGACGCTGGGTATCATTGGCGCACGGCCGTGGCCTCATCGATTTCGGAGGCGAACATGATACGCGTCACCACGGCCAGCAGGCCCAGCAGGCCGACCCCGCCCTGGCGCGCCACGAGTACGCCATGGCTCTTGACCACGCCACCATCCCTTGCCCGGCTGCTGCTAATCTAGTCGGGGACGCCCTCCAGGCCCACCAGGTAGCACGTGATGTTTTTACCAAAACGAAAATACAATTCCCTCCCTTCCATTTCCTCGGCGTGCTTCGCTGGCCGCTTCTCGCTACGCGGGATGGGATGGCAGAGCGACGACATGGTAGGGATTACGGGCCAGCTTGAAAGGGCTGCAACCTGCCTCCGCCTCTCTCGCACTCACGGCGCGTCTGGCGAGGGTGCGAGGGAGAGGGGCGACTCTTCGTAGTCAGCCCGCAGGCAGCCCGCAGGCAGCAGGCTCTGTTCTCCCCCGGACTTTCCGCGGAAAACGGCCAGCAGTGTGCCAGCACGGCCAGCCGAGGCACTCCGTGTCACTCCGAGGAACCCTCGACTTCGGCGGGTTTCTGAGGACTTTGTGGACGTCGCCGTCGTCGCCGGAGAGGCCGTGGCGTGATGTGTCAGCCAACGCGTGTCTGTCCGTCCGTCCGTCCGTCCGTCCGCCGGCGTGGACAACAAGGCCCCTCTCGTGTTTCCCTCTCTCCTGGCGACTAGACGGATGACGGACAGACGCCCAACGGCCGCCTGGCCGGCCTGGACGGCCTGGACGCAAGGGCGACGGATAGATACATCATACCTGTGCGTGGCGCGGCGTGGCGCGGCGTGACCGTACTTTTTGTGTCCTGGCGGTCGAGGCGGCCGGCGGGTGGTGGCGCCGTGGCCGCGACGCTGGCGGAGACCTTGCGGAGCTCGTCTTGCTCCCGGGCGCCACGCTCCAGACGCCTCCAGACAGTGGCTAATGCTGGATGGATGCCCCGAGGCGGTGGCCGGGGCTAGAGCCGGGCCCGGCCAGGTCAGGGTGCGCTGCCCCGTCCCTGCCGCCGTCCTGAAGGTCCTCGCCGAGGAGTCGAGTGTCCCGACGTCCCGACGCCGGACTCGCAGGCCGCACCAAGCCCTGGTCCTTTGAAGCCCGGCAGCAGCGAGCACGCACGGAGTGCACGGAGCGTGGGCAGCAGACCTAAATTGAAATCGAATACGGATGGTGCTGACGGTTAGCACAAGTGATGCGCTGCCCCATCCCCCGAATCAGCTGGGGGCATCGGTAAAGTCTCGACTGCCCCCTCCCCTCCACCGCCGCGCCCTCCCCACCCCCGCCCCTCCCCTCCCCGCGTCCCTGCTACACCTGTTGAGGACTAATCCGGCTAGGCTCCAGGGCTGGCTAGGAAGGACGAAGGACTCAGGGTCAACCCAGAGTTCACCTCTGCGCTGACATCTGACAATCCTGATTGCTGAGAGCTTCAGGAATGGAGAGGGACAGGAGGAGGGGAGGGGAGGGGGGCGATCCCTTCTTATCGCGACACACGGAGGGTGCCTCCCTCCCCTCCCCTCCCTTCCCCGCGGGCCCCTCGCTGGCAGACCAGACAACACGCTGCTGGCTTTCTGGGAGGCTCGCCAGGCATGTATGGGTGGCGGGGCGTGGCGGGGCGCAAATTACAGCCGATTGGCGAAATGACAGGAGCGCATCCTTTTGGAAACTGCAAAAAAACGACGAGGTGGGGGGCGCCGCCGCCACAGGTCTAGCCGCACCTCGCATCGCGTTCTATTTCCACTTTTCCACGTTTCCGACCCACTGTACTTACTGCTGGCCTGCCCTTACGATTCGCTCCGTCTCTCTCGCGCCCTCACGGGACGCCCCGCGAGTGCGAGAGAGACGGCGCGGCGCTTCTAATGAGGGGCTGCGATTAAACTTCCGGCGGGGTGTCCAATTCAGCGGCTCTCCCCTTTCCGGCCGGCGTGGCCTGGCGTAGCCTCGCAGTGTGCCTCGCATGCTGCGAAGGCTGCGTCCGGGAGGCCGGCGCGTCTCCGCCTCGCACACGGCACAGTGGGCCAGAAGCCGGTGGAGGCGGCCAAAACTCTAGACGCGTTTTGAGCTCCAGAGTCGCTAAATGGGACTCGAACCGAACGTGTGACCCCACCAATGGATTGCTCTCCGTGGTCACACGTTCGGTTCGAGTCCCATTTAGCGACTCTGGAGCTCGAAACGCGTCTAGAGTTTTGGCCGCCTCCACCGGCTTCTGGCCCACTGTGCACGCGGGCCGACGACGCGATGCGGACGCCTCGAACGCCTCGGACGCCACCCCGGCGACAGAGATAGGCGGCCATAGGGGTTGGGTGGCAGCGTGGCCGCAGCGTGCCGCACTACACTGGCAGGGAGATACCGCATTCCGCGACTGCGTCGTCAGGTCGCTGGGCCGCCCCGTCAGGCCGCCGCCGTCAGTGACTTCCATTCCATCGGGGAGCTATACGCCATGCTGGCTGTGGCTCTGCTGCGCGCTACGCAAACAACCAGGATCGGGTTGCCCGGGTTCCTTCCCTCCGGTTCCCACAGTGGTCCCACAGTGCTGAGCCGGCAGCCCCGCCGCCCGGCCGCCCAGCCTCACGGCCGCCAAACTGATGCAGCTTCCGGAAGGGCTGGGACAACCATGACGGGGATGGACCACCGGTCACGACACTGGCACGGCGGGCCTGCCCGACGGTGTGGGCGCACCACAGTGGGCCAGAAGCCGGTGGAGGCGGCCAAAACTCTAGACGCGTTTTGAGCTCCAGAGTCGAACCGAACGTGTGACCACCAATGGATTCCTCGTTCGGAGAGCAATCCATTGGTGGGGTCACACGTTCGGTTCGAGTCCCATTTAGCGACTCTGGAGCTCAAAACGCGTCTAGAGTTTTGGCCGCCTCCACCGGCTTCTGGCCCACTGTGCGCACGATGAGTCCCGAAACCGGAAGCTCTGGATGCATGTCTGGGAAGTCGAACCCGCGGCGGAGACGACGACCATCGCCACGTCGCTGCAAATTTCTCTCAAAACTTTTCCCGCGTGGCGTTCAAAGGAACCAGGGAACACTGTTGCGCGAAGCCCTCTCTACGCGTGTACGTTGTGTGTACAATGCTTGGAACTGTTCGCAAGATATGACGCGGCCCCAGCTCGAATCGTAAACTGCAGGACTTGTGTCCTACACCATTCTGGCCGGTTCACCACGGCGAGGTACTACTTGCTGATCTCTCCGCGCGGTACGGCCAAACGGCTCGCCGAACGGCCGCACAGACACAGGGCGTGTGTGTTGTGTTGGGTAGCGGCTTAGACGTCCCTCTCTCGGGACTCCCAGTGCGCCGCGCTCTGCTGCAGCGACTGCAGACTGAGTCCGAGTCGTGTTCGTCGCTCTCTCTCGCACCTATTCGAGCCGCCTGGTGAGTGAGAGAGAGACAGAGCGACGAAAACGACTCTCGGAATCAGTCTGCTGTGGCGCGGGACAGGAAAGCGTCTCGCTACGCTACTTCCTGTGTCCGGCGCACCACTGCTGTGTGTCTGTCTGTCTGTCCGTCCGTCCGTCCGCTCGCCCGCGTGTCCATAAGGGGGACGTGATTCGGATAAATCGTCGTCTCAGCGACTCAAATCCACACTATATTGTGAGGCCGAACTACGCCCTGAGCGTGCTCCGGTGATAACATTTTAGGGCCTCTGTAAGTATAATCTCAACATTTCTGTGAGATCATTTGGGCCCCGGTAAGAACATTCACAGGCTTCTAAAGAACGTGTATATCCTGTGTGGGATCAATTTGTAGCCTTGGTATTTCGTGTAGGTGACTCGAAGAACGAAAAAGAAGAACATTGATTCATCGCCGTAAATTTTAACAGGCAACCTTGCACGTGACCCCAGGACGCGTTTTCAAAACTCCAGCCCATTTGAGGATCTGTCAGAACGTGTCAGAACAGTCCGCTGCTTGGAGTCACCTGGAGAAACGCTTTGAGGTTTCTGGGAGAGGATTTATAGGCCCCTGCAAGGGCGTTGTGGCGTTTTAGTGCCGCTCCAAGGACTCCAAGGTCGCAGTGTCCGTTTTTCCGATCATCGGAACGCCCCTTTGAGGCGGCCGGGCGGCCGGGCGCGGGGCGAGGCGGCGGCAGTGTGGCCAAGTAGTTTTAGAGTCTTGCTCCGAGCGGTTCTTTTAGAATCTCGCTGAAATGGCGGTTTGCCGCGCCGCGCTCCGCGGCCCCTTGAACTCAACCTTGTCCGATGGCGGGATGGGATGGCAGGGCCCCGCTGCTCTGTTGCTCCGCTCGCGCGGCCTTGCGATGCGCTACAGATTTTATCGCTTCCCTTTCGAGTGTTCACACAGCGCACCCGTCCGCCAACATTTCCACTCAATGAAGCTTCTGTTGGCTGTGTACTCGCCGTAGGTGTTCGGGGGGACAGCCCGCCAGCCCGCCAGCCCGCCAGCCCGCGCCCGGGCTGCCTGTCCACCTGTGCCTCCATGCCTAGCCGTCCGATCGCTCGGGTCAGGTCGTCAGGCCGTCAGGCCCTCGGAGGAGGCTACTCCCGCACCCTCACGTATCTTGCCCTACAGGCTGCAGGCAGGTCGGGCGGGGGAGGGGAGGGGGGCGCTGAGGGTGGAGGCGCGGGCGGCAGAGGCGGTAGGTCTCCAGCCGGCGGCGCGGCCGTTGCTGCTGCCGCTGCCGCTGCCGTGCCGTTGCTGCCGTTGGTGTTGTTTAGTTTGGAGTCGACCCCGCTGCCCGCCGCACGGCACGGAGGCGGCGCGCGTTCGCTTGTTCGTCATGACGGTGCGCGGTGCGATGTCGTCGTCGTCGCCGCGGCCGGTGTCCATGCCCACCCTGTCCACGCTGAGGGCCTCGACGGCCTCGACGGGCTCCGTCGGCTCGCCGCTCACGTCCCCGGGGACGCCGCCGACGTCGTCGCTCGGGTCGCTGGACGGCTCGCTGGGCAGCCTGACCAGCGAGTGGGACGAGGACGCGGTACTGGACTTCGAGGATGGCGCCGAGGCCACGACGACGGGGTGCTGGGGCCGCGGCGCCTCCGCCACGCTCAAGTCCACGGCGAGCAGCCCCATGCTGTCCGGGCGCTGGGCGCCGCTGGACGCGGACTCGGGCGCCTCCCCCAAGGCCGCGGTGTCGTCGGGCACGCTCCCCGCCCCCGTCAAGAGGCCCACCTTCCTGAACCTGCGGCGCAGCGCGACCACCACCATGTCCGCGCAGAAGTACTCGAAGCTGCCGTCGGGGAGCGCCACGGTGCGGCTGCGGCGCGTCAGCGAGTGGCTCAGCAAGTGAGTGGAAAGGAAGGGCCGACGGGCCGACGCGGCGACAGGGCGAAAGGGCGTCCCCAACAAGTGCAGCGGTGCGCGGAGAGTGCATCGCGCAGCGCACAGTGCAACGACACACACACGGCGAAAGTTGCGCGTCGCCACTCGGATCACGGTTGCGTGAGGCTTGTCGCAGTGTGTGTGTGTGGGGGGGGGGGGGGCTGAGCGTGTGTGTGTGTGTGAGGGAGAGGCCCGGTGTGTGGGTGTGCGCGGGCCGGCTTGACGCAAGCCCCTAGCCCTGCCACCCTAATCCGGTCGATCCGGGGTGACAACGACGACGACGTGGAGGTGTTCCGGGCGGTTGGGCTACCCTCCGGCGGCTCGACGGCCACGACGGCGTGCCCGGAGCGGCCGGGGTACTGCGCCTACCTCTACTCGGCCTCCCCCAGCGTTGCCAGACTGCCGGCCGGCCTCGGCCGCGAAGCTAGCTAGCTAGCGAAGCCTTGCCCACGGAACGGATTAGTTGGGCCGTACTGTGGTCCCTCCCCCGCCCTGCCTGGCCCTGGCCCTGGCCTCCCCCGGGTCGTAACTGCCTGGCTGGGCCATTGCAGGTGGTTCCTGGTCAGGTGCTTGACGGCCTTGTCTATAGCCCCTATCGCCACTATTCTCCTGCTGCCCTCTTGTGTCCTCGGCGCGTCAACAGGTCACTCTGAAGAGGGGGGGGGGGGGCAAGGGGTGCTTCAGCCTTCCAGCAGGCTTTCAGCCTTTGGCTATGCAGCTCAAAGGATGCGCCTTCATTATTATGCCCGTATCGGTCGTATATTCTGGCTGGCTGTTTGGTTTGGTGGACGCGGCTGCAGTGCTGCAGGAGCCCGACGAGCAACCTGCCGGCCTTCTCGGAGCCGTTGGGGGAGGAGGAGGAGGAGGGTGTGCGGGCGGACCCTCTCGCAACATGTGAGCCCTCCCCTATGAGTGCGTGCGTGTGCGTTGGGGGGCATTGTCCTGCCCCCTCCCCTGCCTGATCCCCGCCATGCGAGGAGCACATGGCACCAGGGTGGCTGGGGAGAGACAAGCAGCCTCCGGTCGGTTCCTCCGGGTTCCTCCGGGTTCCTCCGGGTTCCTCCTCCGCCCCCTCATCGAAGGCCCTCCGCTCTTCCTGGGAACTCGGCGCGCGGTGGGGCGGCGGCGGCGTTTCGCGCGGTTTTTACTTTAGGCCGTGCCTGGCGACGAGGCGGGGGGACCGCCAGGGCACCGCAGGGCACCGCAGGGCACCGCAGGGACACTGCAAAGTGAAACATCGCCTGTCGTTGATGCCCGTGGCCGCGTCTCGCGCACGCACGCACGCGCGCGTCCGGGAAAGCGTGAAGATTGGCCGGGGCGTCTTGGAAACGGTCCCGCCGCGCGGCAGTGCGGCAGTGCCGTGCGACAGACAGTGCGCCGCGTGACGCACGCCGCCGGCACGCCACGCCGCGTGCCACGCCGTGTCTTCGCGCTGGATGAGCACTGTACAGCGACATGCAACGCGCGGTCACAACGCAGTGTAGTGACAACGCCCCGTCGGCGGCCGAAAATGCGAGTGCCTGGTTCGGCCGAGCGGGTCAAGCCGCGAGGGGAGCAGTGTAGCCGACAGGCCGGGGCCGCCGTCCCGTCAGCAGCCTTTTCGTCGCCCTGTCTCTCTCGCACCAGTACGGCACGCCCCGTGAGTGCGAGAGAGACAGGGCGACGAAAACGACTCTCGGAATCAGTCTGCAGCTTGACAGGTGTCAGCCGTGAAGCGCGCTGATTGTTGAGTGGAGGGCGAGGGAGAAGTGGAAGACAGCGAGTAGAGGGGCACCGTAGTGGAAATAATTCTGACACTGTAGTGGCCCTAACGAATCCACGTCTGCGCAGTCTGCGCCCAGAAATCACCTTGACGTGCCAAATTTAAAAGGAAAATCGCGTCGGCCGCGATGCCGATTCACTGGAAGTAACGGCTTGTGTTTCCCTCTGCCCACAGCACGCAGGCGGCCCGGGATCTGTGGTGGAGCAAGCTCAACGAAGTCGTCGCCTCCGAGACGGACCATGAACCAAAGTCAACCAACATCCAGGTCGTGTTCTACGACGTGGACACCAACATCGAATACGTGAGTATACCTCCAGGACGAATCAATCAATCCCGAGGCAGGAAGTGCCAACCTAGCAAACATCCCCCAACTTCGCGGTCCGACGGTGTGACTGTGATCGTTGCGGGTGCGATGCTCTGAACAACTTCGTTTCAAATTCCATTCTCTGACTTTGTCGCCGTTTGCGTCACGCTCGTGGCGATGGTCGTTTGCTGGATACGAGCGAATCGAGTCGCGAATGTACGTCGAGTTGGCAGTGACCCAGATTGGTGTATTTTTCCCGGCGGGGCGAGTAGCGGCGGTGCGTCCGGCGCGTCGCGCTGTGCATAGCCTGGCGAAGCACAGCCTGGCGAAGCACAGCCTGGCGAAGCACAGCCTGGCACAGCCCATCCCATGGCTAATCCCTAATCTACCTCAGCAGGCCGATTCCGAGAGTCGTTTCCGTCGCTCTGTCCCTCTCGCACTCATGGGCGCCCCGTGTCGGTGCGAGGGAGACAGAGCGACGGAAAGGACTCTCAGTCCGCTGGCTCGCCGTCGTCGCCCCGATTCGCCTGGGCGACTCCCGGCCCGGTCCGAGGCACAACTACTGTGGGCACAACCCCACCGGCCAGCGCGCCGGCATGCTCGCCCCGCCCGGCATTCCGAGTGTAGTGGTGCGAGCGCGCTGGACTTGCAGTGGACGTGCGCAAAGTGCAGCCAGCTCTTCCAGCCGTGGCGCGGCGTGGCGTGCCATTCCGATATGCGCTGCCGGGCCGGCCGCGCCACGCCTTCCTCGAAGACGAGCCGAGCCGAGTCCAGCCGGGCCGGGCGACGCTAGGCGACGCGGGCCGAGCCGAGCCGGGCTTCTCAAAGGGACCGGACACTACCTAGAAAGGACAGGACGGCGATAGCCTGGCGGGCCTGGCGGGCCGGCCACCACCGCGCGGTGCGCACTACCACTGCCTATCCGTCTGTCTCTCTCGCACCCTCGCGAGGCCTCGCGGCACGCCGCGGGGGTGCGAGAGAGACAGAGCGACCTGCAGGTCCTGCAGGGCGAGGCCCGGCGAGGCAGGGCTGGGCTGCCCTGGGCACGTGCACTTGTCGAGAGGAAATCGCCGGCGATGAGGATCTCGGCGAAAGTCCGGTTTCGGCCGTCCGGGGGCTGGGACGCGGTGGTGGGGGTTGCGAAGGAAACCTATAGTCTGAAATTGAGCGTTCAGATAGTCGCCCGTGTTCCTAACTCCCGGTTTGGGTCTTGATTTGTTATCCGACCTCGCGGTCTGCTCGGGGGAGGGGCGGCTTAGCCGCGGCGACTTAGTCCGTCGTCCGGAGGACGGCGACGTTGACGCGGATGCGCGTCGCGGGAGGTTTTGAACGTCATGAAAAATGCCGAGAATGACTGCCGATGTCAGATTGCTTCCCGTGTCGCTGTCGCAGTCGCACCCACGGAGCAGCCCGCTGCAGACGGACCTCCAGACAGGGCCTTTCTGTATCTCTGTCTAGCCCCGCCCCGACGGCGTGCCCGACGCCCGTCCGCCCCGTCCGCGGTGTCGCGACACTGTTTTTATGTGTCTGTCTGCCTGCCCGGCCCGCCTGTCCCGCCGCATACCTAGGTGACAGGACCCAGATTTCGATTCTGCCCGGCTGCCCACCCTTACCTTTACGGCTTACAGGGTGTCCTCAGGCCCCGGCGTGGCGTGGCGGTTGGAACCGGGTAACTGCAGTGCCCCGGGCGGCAGTTGCAGCGTAGGCCGTCCTTGCCCACTGCTCTGGGTTCTCCGAGACGAGTGGAGCGGAAGGTCGCGGTGTCCCCGGTGCCCCCGGTGCCCCCAGCACCGCGTCGACGACGGCGACCTGCTGGCTTTGGCAACGCACAGTGGACCAGAAGACCGGTGGAGGCGGCCAAAATTCCAGACGCGTTTTGAGCTCCAGAGTCGCTAAATGGGACTCGAACCGAACGTGTGACCCCACCAATGGATTCCTCGTTCAAAGAGCTTTCCATTGGTGGGGTCACACGTTCGGTTCTAGACCTATTTCACGACTCTGGAGCTCGTCTTGAGTTTTGGCCGCCTCCACCGGTCTTCTGGCCCACTGTGCAACGCCGGCACAAGTCAGCGACGCGAAGCTGCCTTTGGGGCCTCGACCTTCTCGGCGGGCACCTTGCCGGCGGCGAGGCGGGCGCCCCAGCTACGCCACTACGATATGGTGCGCCGACACCTGTGGAGCCTGGGGGCCCCGGGCGCCCCGGGCGCCCCGGGGGGCGTCGGGTTGGGGCCCGCGGGGCACTGCAGGGCGGGGCAGGGCGGGGCGCCGCGCCAGGGAAGGCCATTATCGAGGGCGAGGCCGTCGAGGCCAGACGTGGCCAGACGCTGAGGAATGGGTCGCGCGATGACGGCATGAATCGGGCTATGAATCGAGAAACGCCTAAAACAATAATGACAATGCGGGTCACGAACAAGAAGAAGGAAAACAAGGCGGTGGGCGGAGGCTGGTCGTTAGCAGGGAAGCGCAAACAGATCAGGTGTCAGAACGAGGAGCAGGAGGGGCACACCTTGTGGGCACACCCGGGATTGGGGGTTTCGGTTTCATATCTGGCTCGTTATGGTCTAGGGTGATAATCTCTGGAAATGGAACCCGGATGCTTATTGGTTGTCGCCGGGCATGTCGGGGGAAAGACGCGGCAGATACGTCGTTGTGTTGCAGGCGGTTGCCTGACCTCCCGTTTGTCTTCCTTGTTGCAGTGCAAGACGCTGTGCGTGCGGCCCAGCGACACGGTGCAGCGCTGCATCCAGCAGGCCCTGGAGCACCTCGAGATGCAGTCCCTGGACGCGCAGCAGTTCCAGCTCTGGGCCAAGACCCCCGGCGACGACTCGCCGTACCCGCTGGTCGGCCACGAGCGCCCCTTCGCCATCCGCATGAGCTGCCTGCGCGACAACATGAACCAGGAGGAGGGCTTCGACCTGGACCACTGCAACAACATGTACGAGCCGCTCAACCCACGGCAGCGCTGCCAGTTCATCCTCAGGTACGTAGTACGCACCGAACCTGCTCCTTAGAGCGAGTGTTTTGACGGCGCAGACCTAACCTGACCTCCGCGTTGCAGGAACATCCGCCAGATGGCCGAGCACGACAAGAAGAAGCCCAAGAGCCGCAAGAGTCCAATGCGCCTGCGGCAGGTGTTCAAGCGCACCAAGAGCGAGGTGGCCGTGGACACGGCGGACTCGGCGGACCTGCCCTCCAAGAACAAGAAGGGCAAGTCGCTGAAGCAGCGGCGGAGCAACAGCAGCGGCCACGACGCGGACGCCGAGGAGCCGCCGCAGGGCGACCTGTTCGGCCAGCCGCTGCAGACGCTGTGGCGCGAGTCGCCCGCCGGCGCCGCCCCCGCCGGCCTCGTCGTGGACGACGTCGCCGGCGAGCTGGCCAAGCCCATCATGAGCCTGCTGGCCAACGTGTTCGCCCACGGCACCGCCACGCAGGGCATCTTCCGGCGCTCCGCCAACCAGAGGAACGTGAAGGAGCTGCGCGCCGTGCTGGACGGCCCCGACGGCCCCGGGCTGTGGGGCGACGGCGACTACGACGCCACCACGGCCATCATCGAGAAGAGCAGCATCCTGACGACGTCGTGCCTGCTCAAGGAGTTCCTGCGGTGCCTGCCTGTGCCGCTGCTGGTGCCGGACCTGTGCGCCGACTGGCTCGACGCCCACCACACCGCCGACACGCCGCAGCCCGGCAAGCCCACCAAGCTCCAGCGCTACGCCGCCGTCCTGGCGCTGCTGCCGCGCTGCCACCGCGGCCTCCTCGCCTACATGCTGTGCCTGCTGCACCACGTGGCGGCCAACCAGGACCACAACCTCATGTCCCCCAGCAACCTGGGCGTCGTGTTCGCGCCGGGTCTGCTGCGCGCGCCGGAGAACTCGCCCAAGGAGCTGGAGGCCGTGCTCACGGCCACCACCCCCGCTATCGTGGCGTACCTCATCAGCCACTGCCAGCAACTGTTCGGCCCCGCCGTCACCAGGCTGCTGGGCGAGCCGCCACCGCCGCAGGACAGCGGCGCCGAGGAGTCCGACAGTCTACACTGTAAGTCCGCTTTTCCTGACGCGACTGCACCTTTCTATCGCGCTGCTTGACCCGACTGAACCTAATCCACCACTGTGTCGTGTTGCAGCCGGCGGCCTGGACAGCCTGGAGCACCTGGAGCCGTGCCCGCCGCCGCGGAAGGACAAGATGTCTCTGAGCAGGGACTCGGGGCTCACCATGAGCGACTCGCAGCTCTTCACGCCCGACGAGGAGGAGAGCGGCTCCACCAGCTCCTCCGGGTCGGGGCGAGTGTCGGGCCGCGCGTCCAGGCCCATGCGCTTCAAGGTGAGTTAGGAGCTCGTCGAACCGTCGGCAAACTCAACTGAAAAGAAAAGAAACTTACCAGGCTGTGTCTCTTCCAGGTGGCGACCACCACTCCACCGGCAGGAACCACCCCCGGCGCGCCGCCCGCGGCCGTGCCCGCGCCCTCGGGCTGCAGGCAGTACGTGCGCGTGTACGGCGGCTGGGAGGAGCGGCGCGCGGGCGGCCCGGGACTCTACTCCATGTGCAGCAGCCCCCGCACCGCGCAGCTGCCCTCGGCCACGTCCACCAACACCGGCGGCAGCCCTATGGCCAGCCCCATGGCCAGCCCCTCGGCCACCTCGACCTGCCCGGCGGCGTCGCCCTTCAAGCGCGAGGACTGGTTCCGCCAGCGGTCCGCGCTGCGACGGCTGGCCAGCCCCAGCAGCCCCAGCCACAGCCCCAACTACAGCCCCAGCTACAGCCCCAGCAGCAGCCCCGGCCCCTCCACGTCGTCGGCGAGCCAAGTCATCTACGGCAACCTGCAGGGCTGCCCCTCGGGGGCGGCCGTCGGCTCCAGAGGGGAGTCCACCGGCAGCGAGGGGCCGTCGTCCTGCTCCAGCGCCAGCACGGCGGCCACCACGTCGCTCAGGACCGCCACCCACCGGAGGTAAGCGGCAAGCTCGATTGATTTCGAGGACCCCGTCGAGGGTCTCTTGTTCTACCTTTGCTAACCTGGACCTTGTTTCCCCGCAGGCTGGACAGCGCTCGAAGAGAGCGACTGCGGCGAAGCGCTTCCGAAGAGTCGCTCCTGGAACGGAGAGCGCGGCCGCACCCTCCCAGCCTGCCGCAGAACCACCCCGGGCACGCCGCCAGGGAAGCCAACCACCCCCCGACGCGGCCACCCCAGCCCCCGCAGGCGGAGCGGCCGCTGCCTGCACTGCCCACCATTCCTCACCGATCGCTGGCGCCCCGAGACCACCGAGACGTGCCCCGAATATCGCGGTCCCGCAGCGCGTACCACCTCGCCTCCACGCCGGAGGCCGGCTCGGGCAGGTCGTCCTTCTCCTTCGCGCGGGTGTACCCGCTGGAGGCGCAGGCCGAGCTGGACGCGCTGTACGGCTACGCCTGCGTGCGGAGCTGCGGCGGCGGCAGCGCCACTGGCAGCCTGGGCGCCGTGGGCGCGGACAAGAGCGCGGACGACTCGTACGACTCCAGCACACTGTCGGACGACGACTCGACGCCCCACGTGTCGCGGTCCAACTCGCGCAGCAAGGAACCCTGGAGCCCCACCTCTACCGCCGGCGTCGCCGCCCCCGCCGCCCCCAGCGCGCCGCCGCCACCACTGCCCCCCAAGCTGCGGCACTTGCCCCCCGTCCACGTGGAGCTGGGCGCCACCATGGAGAGGCGGGGCCGGTCGCGGAGGCGGCTGCCCAAGCCCGCCGCGCGCTCCAAGTCACTGCCGCCCCCCAGTCAGGCGCACCGGAACGGCGCCGACGGCATGGCCGACGCCATGGCCGCCCCCGCGAGCCCGCCGCCCTACCGGCCGCCGCCGTACCGCCCGCCGCCCAGTGTGGTGCCCAGTCACCGCGCCCCCATCACCACCTACTACCTGGGCGCCCGCGCCAACCCCAACCCCAGCCCCAACCTGGGCTCAAGTCCCAATGTCAGTGGGGCCTCGAACCCATCGAACCCATCCAACCCCAGCATGGGCCCCAAGGGGTGCGCCAGTCCCAGCATGGGCCCCAGCGAGGAGGGCGAGTCCTATGTGTAAGTCTTACCAGTGCCATGTCATGCGCTACGCCATTTAGTGCCCGAGTCACTTTGTGTTCTAAGCTCTGTACAAAAGTAGCAAGTGTTAGTACGATTATGAATGTTGTTTTGTTCCAGTTACCATTAGTAGAAAAGGGATTCTTTTTAAATTTTTTTAAAAATTGTAATTTGATTTTGTTGCCTAATTGCGCCATGTTGTTGCTTGATAGATAAGTTGAGGTGGAATCAATACTCTCTCCGTTAAGTAGAGATGTATTGATTCACTAGGGAAGTCCAGCTTTGTGAAGGCGAATACTTCTTGAATGAGAATATGACGTAGATTGTCAATGTTATTAGAGATTTATTAAAATAGCTGTCTGTAAAATATGTATCGCATCATGATTTATGCTCCATGTTGTATTAGATGTTTTAACTTTTATTGTACTTATAATTTTTTTTGTTTTAATGTAAATATATATCAATGCCAGTGAAGCTCACATCAGTTTGTCGTTTAATTAGAATCCGCCTCCTCCATCCTTGGCTCCCGAGAAGACAAATCTGTACAGGACCGCTGATAATGCTGACCCCACTGGTGGACCCACGAAGTAAATCTGTCAAGCCAATCATTGGAAACATCAGACAATTACAATGACAGTAAAATAAACACATACACTGAATTATTTTAAAGTTAAAGTAATTGGTGACAAGTTTACTCAACGCACCCATATGTTGTCCCAGTGGCTTTCTGTTATAGCAGAAGCTAAGGTGCGGAATGGGTTCATGCTGCCTCCACTGAAAGGAATCTGCCACACACACACACATGAGTTTTAGGGACATGGGTAAGGGGGCTCCACACTGCCTGAATCCTTAGACATTATTGCAAGCACACAAAGGGTTGCCTATCGACTAACTGCAGGCCCAGCACTGTGGGACAGAAGACCGGTGAAAGCTCCAGAGTCGCTAAATGGGACTCGAACCGAACGTGTGACCCCACCAATGGATTCCTCGTTCGGAGAGCAATCCATCGGTGGGGTCACATGTTCGGTTCGAGTCCTGGGCTGGAGCCTCGGCAAGGACACTCACCCCGACCCAGTGGCCCACGGCCAGCGCCAGCCCCACGGCAATGCCGGCCAGGTCCTTGAGGGCGTCGCCGCGCTCCGGATCCGTGGCCCCGAGGAAGACCAGCACCAGCAGCGACGTGATGAGGATCTCCATCACCAGCGCCTTGGTCTCGGAGTGGCGCATGGCGGCGGGCAGAGTGAGGCCCGAGCCGCCCAAGCACTGCGGGCATCAACAGCGTGGTCCCGGGTTCGAATCCCACCACCACCATGGGGTGATCGTTTTCCTTTCCTCACCCATGCGATGAAGGCGCCGGCGATGGAGCCGAGCAGCTGGGACAGCACGTAGAACAGGCAGGCCTGCCACTCGATGCGCCCGTTGATGAGGGCGGCCATGGACACCACGGGGTTGTAGTGCGCGCCGGACACGGGGCCGATCGCCTGCAAGGCGCCAGCCATCAGGTCGCGGGTTCGAGTCCGGTCGGCGGCAAACCGATTTCCGTTTTCTCGGTCGAACAACGCAAGCTGGACTCACCACCGCCAGCGTGGCGAGGGTCATGCCGAAGCGGAGGCCGACGTCGCCGAGGTAGCCGAACGCACGGCCGCGCATGTCGTCGTCTGGGCCCCGTGAGGCCCGTGAGTGCGAGAGAGACAGAGCGACGCCAGCGGTGAGTCGATGCACGGATAAATGGTGGATGCATAATGCATGACGCATCGGGTTGACGGTTACCGATGATGAGGTCGGGCGCGCTGGCCACGGCCAGGGAGCCGCAGAACACGAGGAACGTGCTTCCGGTGAGCTCGGCCACCAGGGCCTTCCAGCCGCTCGTGAAGGCCTCGCCCAGCCCCGACATGGCGGCGGCAGCGGCGGCAGCGGCGGGGTTATCGGGTCGCTGTCGCTCAGGCTAAGCACTAGCGACCGCCCACACTGGAAGCGAGTTGAACACTTAAGAGTCAAGCCGGGCAGGCTGGGGTGCTGGGGTATCCGCGGCAACAAGGAATCGTCCCCGACAATGGCGCTGGTCTTGGCCGCGGAGCGCGCGGGGCCGTCCACATCCATGAACCACGTAACGCTGCCTCAACGCCGAGACCGGGTTCGGAACACGAACGCCGTGGACAGGCGCAGTGCCCGCCATCTACCGCCATACAGCGTACAGCATCGAGTGGTGATCGGTGGGCTGCTGGGAGTCTCTCGAGGCCGTTGGCGGCAAAGAAGGCTCTGCCGCAGCCGGACTTCCCCGCCCCGCAGCCGCGCTACCCCGTGCCTCAGGGGTCCGGACAGCGCGCAGCGCGGGGTATCTCCGCGGCGATGCTCTTTTGTTCCCTCCCCCAGTGCGCCGAGGAGTTTTGCTCTTGGTGACAACAGGCGGAGAACCGGCCGTCTGTGTCGGATCAGAACATGCGGTTGTTATGAAAGTGTCTCGAAAGGCCCTTAAAGGATTTTGAATTAGTTTATTTCCTGAAAGACAGCTGTCAACATGAAGGAGGCGCCGTACTCGAATATTGAAAAGAATTTTTTGAAGAAAGCTTTAGGGGAGAAGAAGGTAACGTTATTTTAAGGGCGCAATGTGCGTTTGAAGGTTATGTTTTTGTTTGAACTTCGACTGCAATACCTAACACAATGAACGTAACTTTCTCCAGCGATTGGATGGCAGACAGTTTGATGAACGTCGAAATCTCAAGATCAATTTTGGAAAGGAATATGGCTGTTGTCACGTGGCTCTTGGTGATACAAGGTGATAATGTTTCGTCCATTGACTATAAGACATAAATTTGTGAAGGGCTGCTTAAAATTGTCGCTCGGTATTAACCTGAGTGTGTGTGTGTGGTTTTATTTTACAGAGTGCTTGCCCAGATTTCAAGTGAAATTCAACAACCAAAATCAACTCGTCCCAATGAAGGTCATATTTACGTCAATGTTGAATTCAGCCCTATGTCTGCAGAGCATGTAGAACCAGGAAAACCCTCAGAGGACTGTGTTGTAGTCAACAGAGTTCTTGAGAAGTGCTTAAGAGAATCTAAGTGTGTTGATTTAGAATCGCTTTGCATTATAGCTGATGAAAAAGTATGTTCTTGTCTTTTGAATTTATTATTAAATGTTCCACATTGTGACAAATTACAATTTATTTTTATGTATTTGTAGGTTTGGACATTACGAGTTGATATTACAGTTCTGAATATGGAAGGAAATATTATTGAATGTTCATCTATTGCTGCCCTTGCGGCTCTGGCACATTATCGTCGCCCAGATGTAACATCTACTGGTGAAAGAATCATAGTCCATGATTATAGCGAAAAGGAACCAATCCAAACATCGTTGCATCATTACCCCATCTGTTTGACATATGCCATTTTCAATAAGGGGTTTGTATGAATCCTGCCACTGCTGCCAAATATTAATTCATTCATTACTCTTAACTCAATGTAATCTTTCTTTGTGGTCTAGAAAGCAGATTGTTGCGGACCCTACCCTTATCGAAGAACAAACAGCAGAAGCCAGTCTAAGCGTAGGAATGAATGCATATCGTGAATTGTGTGGGCTGCACCTGGGAGGTCTCGCTCTTAGTGACCATACGTCTATCTTAAAGGTAGTGCAGAAAGCTGGTATTGCTGCTGCTGATATTGTGCAAACTATTAAGAAAAGCCTGGCAGAAGATGAAGAGGCCAGGTAATTAACTTATTTAGCACAGGTGTTGTTACCTCATGGGTCCAAAGCCATTTTTTAACTCAGTATTTTAATTTGTACTTTTCCGCTAGGTCCAAAAATGAAGTAGTTGGTCTATCAGTTTGTATCAGGGCTGGAAGAATCACAACTCTATGTGATCAACGAATGAAGGTGAAAGTAAATTCTCAATCTATTCAGGCAGCAGCAGAAAAATTAGTTGCTCAAAATCGAGTCAATAAACATACTAAGTGGGATGATGAAGGCAATGAAACAGAATCTGGTAGGCCATTTTTTTTTCAGCTATGACTAAGATCTTGTATTATTTATTTAATGTAAGTTTTCTCACTCTCGTTGCATTTTATTTCTTCAGGGCCATCCAATAAAATTATAGTAAATCTTGGTGACTGCTCAGCAGAACTCCAGGTAAGGCCTCGCATCTCACCTACATAGTGTAGGTATGTTATATTTCTCACTTGTGTACTCAAAATGTTTTTGGCTTCAGGATGCCAGTGACCAGGAGATGGAGGAATCATCCGATGGTGAAGAAGCAGACGAAGATGACGATGAAGATGATGACATGGAAGCAGAGGAAAACAAAGCAGAGGAGCAAGAAGATAATGTTGAGGAACCGAAGAAAGACACAAATGATGATGAAGATGATGATAGCGAAGAAGAACCAGTTGTTTTAGAACAGCCAAAAATATCTCCCAAAAAGGAATTCAACAAGAAAAAAGATAAAAAAAACAAATCTGCAAAGAAAACTGCTCACCAAGCTTCTATGGAGGCTGGCTCGGATGATGAATTACAAGTGGTTCAAGAACTCACTAAAGAGGAGAAAGACAGAATGAAAAAAGTTGAAACTCTTGGTGAGCCTTTTAAACCTAGGATTTCACTGACCATTCAATCTAATGTATTGAGAATAATATTGCTTTTTTTTTCTTTTCCATTCAGTTTTGGATGATAGTGAAGAGGAGGGGACAACAACTCTAACAGCTGGAGAAATGGAAGTACCATCTAAAAAACAAATGTAAGATAAATTTTTAGCATAGCCTCTCTATTGCTGTCTATTTTGAGTGGATTGTTTGCAAGGTGTTAAATATACATATTTTAATTTTTGTTCATAGATCAACTCCCCGTTCTAAACAACAGAGGAAGAGAAAGAAGAACCAGAACCAAAATCAGAATCAAAACAGAAAGAATGGACAGAAGCCAGGCGGAGCCAGACAATGGTATGCTCAAAACGCGTGGTGATCAAATAGATTTTTTTTTTTAAATTGTAGCATCTGTGATTTGGTGTTGATCTTTTATTCATTTGATGTTGTTATTGATTGGTGAGGAGTATTACATAATGATATTTGTAAAGGGTTCAATATTTCAATAGAAAAATTGAAGTGTATAGCATTTTTTCAATCCAATTTATTTACTTTTTTTAGTTTATGAAAGATACTTACAAATTTCCCTTTGGTGTTTTTTCTTTCCATTTACAAATGTTGAGAAAAAAGGTCTTCATGAATTTTACACACAGCTTGTTATTGACAATGAAGCAACATTGCTTTTCTTATGGTTACATTCTACTGAACATTACAAAGATTTGTTCAGTGAAACACTCCCATCATATTTGCCTTATCCTTACATCTGCTTTAGACATTGTAAACAGATAATACAGAAGTTTCTGCAGGTGTGATTTCAACACCACCTGGTCGTTCGTTGATGTCAGAATAGTGCTTCAGCCTTTCTGACAAATTTGCAAAGCTTACATGTACGGCCTTACTTTTATCAAAATGTCATGTTATGATGTTACAACATTTCATGGCACTTTCTTAACGGAGGTGTTCTGCACTTTGAGGCGAGCTTGCTATAGTTTTGACATCTGACACAGTCTTACCTAAAAGTGGAGGTGATTTTTTTTTTTTGCAATTTAGAACAGTCTCCTCCAGCTTAAGATGTACTAGTGCAAATTTTATTATTAACATTCAGACAATCATGTCACATAGGTGAGTTGGGGGCGCAAGCTAGAAGTAATCTTGTCAAGTGAAATAACAATGAAAGCACACAGTATTTGCTACACAAAAATTAATGTAAGAAACATGCCTCCACTCACAGTTGAAATAATTTTATAGCCAGCGACCAAAAGCTGCCCCTTCACTCACCAGAAACATGGTGGCTCTTGTCTGAATGGAAATCACACTCCGATTTTCACATAAACACTTACCCTACACTAGCACATTTGCATATAAATAATTGACACAGTGGTCTAGTTGGAATGATTGCAACCTTATTGCAGCAATGGTCCCTTCCAATTTTGGATTCTAGGTACATATATTCAATGTGTGACGCACCACAAAAATACATTTGGAACATCTTAGAGTGGTACCATCAGACAAAGACTTGATCAGATAAGACTTGATCGCAGCCTGCCCTAGTAGAACTTACAGGAGCTTTGGAATTTAGTGAATAGTTGAATCCACTACATTCACTTTCAGAGGTCCTGTAAGTTCCACGAGGTGTCCACTGACCACTGTGTCAGGTTTAGAAAAGAAGAGAAACATTAAACATGCAAGTCCTTTGAAAGGTGTTCTGCCTCATGATTCGGTCAATCTCTCATATCTCCCGTCGCTGGGAGGGAACGGGAGCTATCACAGCAGTCGAATGTGAACGCAAGAGCACCTTTCACTTAAAATTACCATTTCCCAATCCAAATACTTCCCTGGAAATTTGGCGCAACTAGCAGTTAAATATATTGAAAAGACGTAACAGCAATATCAGCGCTTGTGAACTTTTACATATTCACGTATTAAACACCGCTCAAAAGTAGCACAAAAAATATTGAGCAGAAAATTAAACAATGAGCAGCTGGACGGTGGCGGGTTTCTGCAGCAAAAGCGAATCGTGAATATCCGCACAAACCGCGCCACTGCCGTCGTAACATCCCTAGCGACTAAACCGAGCTGTGTAGTCGTAGCTCATTTCGATTCCATTTCTTTAAATAACCCCAAAGATTCGCAACAATCTAAACAAACACTGGTGCTCGCCGTCTGCTCGCCCAAGCGTGCGGCGAGCGGCCCTCGGGGGGCAGGGGGGCGCCCTCTCCTCCTGCGCTGCCCGCGCTGCCCGCGCTGCCCGCCTATTCGGCTGGTCCAGATGGTCCAGATCGGGGCGTGGGGCGGCGCGCTGCTCACGCCATGGTCAGGGTGCCAGCGCCTATGCCGAAGCCGCAGCCCTTGGGGCCGAAGTTGCGGCCGTAGCAGCCGCGGCAGTAGATGTCGTCGTCCGGGCCGTCGTTGAGGTTGGTGGAGTCCAGCGAGCGGCCGCAGTCTTTGCAGCCGAAGCACCTCTTGTGCCAGATCTGCAGCCCGAAGAGAGGGGTCAGTGTCGAGGAAAAGGCGCTGCCCACACCGGGATTCGAACCTCTGCCTGCGGGGCAGGTGTCACACCCCCCAACGCGCGCGGCTACTCACCCTGTTCTTGCTGATCATCTGCTCGGCGGCGTACACCTCGAAGCCGCAGCGGGGGCAGCCCTTGCCGCCCTGGGCCTTGAGTCCGTGGGTGGGGCGGGCGTCGTTGCTGCAACATTTGCATAGAGATCGAAGGAAACCCCTGGAGGAGGGCGAGGGCGCCACTCGTACAGCGCCCCGAGACCTCGCCGCCAGCACACCGCCCGGCCCGACCTGCGTGCCTCGGCCCGCGTCTCCGGCGCACCCCAAAGGACACTCAAGCGAACTTGAAGAAACTCAAGCGCCCCTTGAGTGCACCTCAGCCCTCAGTTTCAATACCCGGTCCAATACGACAGTCAGATATCGATTCGACCGTTGTCGATGTTGCGAACATCGACGAACAGTCTCTGATTGGAAGACCACAACGTTAATCTACATTTCGCAAAGATTAATGACATTCCACTTCAAATAATGTTTTTGGTCCAGATTTGAGGTTGATAAAAAACAATATGTCTGAGAATCGACATTTAAAAAAAAATAAATTTGGAAGTAGTGGGAGTAGGGAGTGAAACTGGGGCCACGCGCCGCCCCCGCCGGGGCCCAGCAGAGACTGAAGCAGACACCGACGCCGTGGCGGAAGAGGGTGTTAGCACATGGTTTGGGCTGGGCGCCCCGTCGGCCTCCTCGGCCAGCCGCAGCGCACAATGGCCGTACAGCGCCATGCACTCGAGCAGCAGCATCTTGCCGCCATTGCCTCGGGGCGGTCCCTGGGTTAGCTCAAGCAGCAACAGAGCGTGTCTGTTACGGTGCTCAGTGGAGGGACAGGAGCGAGCGGGCCACGGCGTCGGTCCAGCCAGGCCCAGCCAGGCGCGGCGGGGACGGCGCGGGGACGCGAGCAGAGTCAAATGGGCCTCACGGCCGGACGGTGGCGCCGGCTTGGTCTCGATTGCTCTATCAGTTTCATGGTCATTACATTTTATTTATTTATGTATAATATTATGATTGTATTATATTTTAGACCTTACGCTAACTTAATCTAATTACTCATTACAGTCAAATGGACTCCTTGTTGTTGGTGTATTATTATTAATATTGGTGAATTGTCATTATTAATATCATTATTAAAAGCGGCTATGCCCTCAGAAGAGAAAGCAGAGTAAGGCCCTACTGTCATGCACACTACGTCTCCTACATTGCCTAAATGCCAGACGCCGTACATTTAGCAACAACAAGGTTATCCAAGTGAAAGTTTTCGTATTCGTCTCCACAACAACAACAACAACAACAACAACAACAACAACAACGGCGACAACAATGATTGCGACGTCGTGTGGCACTCACAACTGGCAGGTGGACTCGCCGCTGGTGGACACCAGGGTGGGGGCGAAGCCGTAGCCGAAGCCCTTGGGGCCGAACTTCTTGCCGTAGCAGGCGCGGCAGTAGATCTCCTTGTCGGGGCCGTCGCAGGCCAGCATGGAGTCCAGCGGGCGGTGGCAGTCGCAGCAGTTGAAGCATTTCTTGTGCCACATCTGCCGACCAAAACGACGGGGTTGTGTCACGACCGCGGCCACCGCACGGAGGGCCAGAAGACCGGCGGGGGCGGCCAAAACTCTAGACGCGTTTTGAGCTCCAGAGTCGCTAAATGGGTCTCGAACCGAACGTGTGACCCCACCAATGGATTGCTCTCCGAACGAGGAATCCATTGGTGGGGTCACACGTTCGGTTCGAGTCCCATTTAGCGACTCTGGAGCTCAAAACGCGTCTTTGGCCCACTGTGTTTGCACACCCACCGTGCCCTTGGCCAGCTGCTGCTCCGCGGCGAACACGGCGCCGCCGCAGCGCGGGCAGCCCTGCCCGGGGTTGGCCTTGATGGACGTGGTGTCCGGGTTGTAGAAGGGGCGCATGGACGAGATCTCCTCGTCGGTCAGCCCGTCGGTCTGCAGGAAGCCGGCGCCGCCGCCGAAGCCGTAGCCGTGGGGCCCGAACTTCTTGCCGTAGCAGGTCTTGCAGTACACGTCCTTGTCCGGGCCGTCGCAGGCCAGCATCGAGTCGAGCTGCTTGGTGCAGTCCCTGCACTTGAAGCACTTGCGATGCCACTCCTGCGGGAAGAAACGCGGGTTCAAATACTCGCTGCGCCTTTTTTTATCAGGTTGGCGGGAAAACGCCCGACGGCCGCGAGGTAGGCAGCATGAGCACTGCGGCGTCCACCGCGTTGCCTACCCCGCTGTTCGCAGGCGCTCCCGACCGAAGGAGCCTTTCAAGGCTCAGGGTTGGTTACGGCTCTAGTTTGTCTTGGCTCTAAAGAGAGAAAAAAAAGAAAAAACTCACCCGGCCCTTAGCGAGGACCTGCTCGGCGGCGTACACGCAGCCACCGCAGCGCGGGCAGCCCTGGCCCTTGGGAGCCTGGATCTTGGCCACGTCGTTCAGCGTGTTCTTCTTGTTGGCGAGGTACTCGCTGCAACAGCCACAAGGCACAGTAAGCGCCACCGTCTCGGGTTCAACTACCGGCGAGGTCTTTCGCGCTCTCTCCAATTTTTACATATTTTTTTTGGACCCCGTCAACTCACAAGTGGTCTGAGAGATCTGTAGTGAGCCCGATGAAGAGGCCACCGCCGAAGCCTACGCCGCGGGGACCGAACTTCTTGGCGTAGCACACTGGGCAGGACAAGCAGGCGGCACGGTTAGGGAAGCCTTGTAGGGTTAGGTCGGAGGGGACCCAGCGCGTTGCCACCCAAAGCAGCCCAAGCTGTTGTCGTTTAAAGGGTTTAAAGTGTACCTCCGGCGTGTTTCGTGCGGCGTGGCGGGTGAAACGCGAAGACGAAGTGTCAAACAAAAATCAAATCGACCATCGAAAACCAACCTAAATGGAGCTCAATTTTTAATTTCTAGATTTAAAAAAAAAACAACATATGTCTTGTCCTCAATTGTTTTGGTGTTTGTTTTTAGTCTTCATGTTGCTTTTAGCAGCGTGGGGATGTGAGGGTCACTTTCAAAGGGAGAGCCCCCTGCAGAACACCCTGACCACACGAGAAACAAAAACAAAGGCAAGGTGAGAAGAAAGAAAGCAAAACTCGGGCAGAAGGGTTGCAACTCAACTACACTCACTCATTGGAGGGGCTCTGGCTTTGTATGCCGCAGAGATTAGTAATTTTTTTTTTCAAGTTTTTATGTCTTTGAAGACAGTGATTGATTAATGGTCACAAACTGTGAAAATGAAAAATTCCACGAAAGGGAAAGCCATTGTGAAGCCTTTTTATCCTGGGTCGCTAGAAAGCGGAAGGCTGTGGGCGCTGCAAGCAGGTTGGTCTGAAAGCGGTCAGAAAGCGGTCAGAAAGCGGCCAAGACAAGAGAAAGGGAACGTACCCATCACGCCCATCACCGTTGGTGTACAGGCTGGCATCGCTCTGCAGGGCCCCGGCACCCTGGCCGTAGCCGTAGCCCTTGGGCCCGAACTTCTTTCCGTAGCATGCTGCAGAACAGAGTGCCAAACAGTGAGCCCACTTGTGGCCTCCAAACACTCGTTTTTGCGCCACATCACCCCAACCCTCAAGGTTTCAACAGCAAAAACCTCCCTCTCGGAAAACGGGTATCCCAATTATTTTTTTTGTACCTTTGCAGTAAATATCCTTGTCTGGACCCTCGCACACACGTACGGAGTCCAGTCGCTTCGAACAGTCGCCGCACTTGAAGCATTCCTTGTGCCAACCCTGGAACAAACGACGCCATGCACCATGCAGACACACTGTCAAAGTCTCGGTTCGGTTGGCACTCCCGGGACGCCCGACGAGGAGGGATTCACCAGCACCCGAGTGAGAAGAGCCGTTTCGACGCCATGTCTCTGTCGCACTCGTGGGGAGTCCCGCAGGCATTGCGAGAGAGACAGAGCGACGAAAGGACTCTTCGGAGCCGCTCGGCGGGTTGCCTACCCACCACGGCGCCTCGTCCCGGGCGGTGGGGGGGGGGGCAAGAAGGGGCACCACCAATCACACGAGTAGGAGCAAATTCTGTTCTATTTTTACAAACAGGGTGCTTCGAACGCGAGGCCCGTCTTGTCCCACTCTAGTGCAGGCATCGAACGTGCGTCAACCCGGCGGGCATGGAAAAAGACGGAAACAGGGGGGGATGCTCAACGCAAAACCGGTGCAGCACTCAGTCAAGCGCACGTGGCCGCCAAGCACTAGTAACAACTTTAATGCATTCAAAAAAGGTCCAAACGATTTTTTTTTTGTTTTTCAGAGTATTGATTTTTGTAAAGTTTGTTCGACATTGCGTGGCGTCTACGAGCACCGAGTGGCGCACTCTACATGCAGGGAGTACCTCTGCAGTAAACCTCGCCGTCGTGGCCGTCGCACACCGTGGTGGAGTCCAGACAGTGGTTGCACGTCTTGCACCGGTAGCACTCCAAGTGCCAGCCCTGGTTCAAAAACCCAGTCCAAACTTCAACCTACTTCGCGCTTTACTTTTTGCTCTGTTATTGTTTCTCACGGATTGGTGAGCGAGAAATATGGTAGTCCGTTCCACCCTTTTACTCGCAGACTTTTCGCCAGTTGACATTTCTTTTTAATCTCGTTGCAAACTGATGCACGAGATGCTTTGTCAAAACGTACAAATTTCTTTGTACGGCTTAACATATTTTGTAAGGTTTTGAGGGTGCAGCTCAGATATTTTTCCATCGGAGCTATTTTTTTTTTTTTGTGTGTTTTGCTCTGCTCCATGCGGCTTAATGACTAGGACGTGGGCTGAAATTAATATTTGCAAGTACTTACCCTGCCCCTAGCCAGCATCTGCTCGGCGGCGTAGACGAATCCGCCGCAGCGAGGGCAGCCCTCACCCTCGGGGGCCTTGGCGATGGCGCGGGGCTCCATGGGAGCGCGCGCACCCTCGCCAACGTACCTGCAAGACGCATTTTTGTCTCTTTTTCTTTTTCTTTCTCTCTTGCGAACCGTGTGAGTTGGATTGAATTGAACGAACCATGCACAGCGCACACGCGCAGCTGGCCATGGTGGATGAGTACGGCGATGTTCGTGTATTGAGGGAGAACTGGTTCATCTCTTTTCATGCTCATTTTGAGCAGAGTTCTCTTTGGACTGTTCTTTTACCAGTCTCAATTTTTTTTACACTTTTTTGTCCTTTTTTTATTCTCCCTTATCTTATGATTCCCACCCTTGTTCGTTGGCCCCGCGCCCGCCACAGGCCAGGTAGGCAACCAAGAACCACGTGTGTGCTACCGGTGGCCTACCCTGCCTGTGACAGGCGCTTCGGGATCATGCGACAGCAATTCTCTTCGTATTTTTGTAAAAGTTTCTGAGCGTAATTACGTGTGATCACTTGTAATTTTTTTCTTCTTTCATTTTTGACGAGTGGGCGGTGTGTGCGTGATGAGGATAACTTGCATGTGAGGAAGTCTGTTTTGAAGAAGGCAGGGAAGCGGTTTTGGATAAATGTGCTCTGTGGCCGTAAAATTTGTCAAAAAGAAACATTGCACTGGTGATCTTTGCACTGAGGCAATCCATCTTAAGCATGGACAATGCTGGTGCAAGCGCCTTTCTCTTCTACGAAATTTAGAAGGCTTTCCGAAATGAGTCCGCACGAGCACTGGCGCAAAGTTTTGAAACAACATTGTTTTTGAAAAATAGAAAATGCATCAAAATAAAATGAACATCCAAATAACATCTTAAAAAGAAACAAAAATAAAATAATAAATAAATTTGGAACTAGGCTGGGCTGAGTTAGGAAGGAAAGAGCGTCGTCGAAATAAAAAGAGAGAAAAGGGTAGTTAGCGTTTCCCTCAAGCTACGTCTCTAAGTGCCCTGCGCGGGAAAAAAGAAACAAATACAAAAAAAGTAAGAAAAAAGTTTTCGATCAAAGAGAGTTTGGCAGAGAAGTTGCGGAACGAAAACGATCTGGAAAAACGGCGTTGCCAAGGGCAACACAGGCACACACAGGGCTACTTGAGGGCTGACTTGAGGTTCCCTATCTCCTTGAAGCGGATAGACAGACAGAGAAGGGCAGACAGACAGACAGGCCACATGCATAGGCATCCTCAGTGTCGTGTGGGTCGGGGCGGAGGGTTACGCCGGCAAGGCTTACGATGGCTTCTCGAGCGCTGGCCCAGACGCCGGAGGCGTTGCAAAGTGTGAGAAAAGAAAAAAAAGTCCAGCTGGCCAAGCAAGCCCCTCCTAAACCTTGCCGGCAGTTTAATTGAGCGAGTCAATGAGAATTTTTTTCCCCGATGGTAGTTTATTTCTTTGATCAAAAAAGATACACATTGGTAGTAAAAAGTGGCCACACCATACATTTTCCATGATTGAATAAAGTTAAGTATTATGAACTCGCTTACAGCTTAAACTTAGTCCACAGACGTACATGCTGAATATCGGACATGCTGATGGCAGCACGGCCATCCTGTCTACATATGAATATGAATGACTCACTAAGGGCTACAAAACTCCATGGTCATGCTGCATGGTCATGTCGCATGGTCATGCTCCAGGACAAGAAAAAAGAAACTACAAACGTTTATATTTTTTTAAATTAAAAATGGTATCATAAAAAAATAATAAGAGGAACGAAATCACTTCCAGTTCGAAAAGGAGTAGTCAAATGAGTGTCCATGCGAGGTCGCGTCGAACGTCTAGGCTAGTCTAGGCTAGGCTAGGCGAGGCTAGGCCCGAGTCGGCGTCGGATCGACATCACTTGGACCCACTGGTTTCCGAATTGGGACATATATATTACAAATAGAGTCTCTCTGCTCTGCCGATAGATGTCGCTGCAGGGCGGAGCGGAGCGGGGCGATGCGGACGGGGTGGGTGCATGGGGCTCGCATTCAGGGTTTACTGGCTACAGACAAAAAGTCGTGTCACACCGCTGCACTCCAAACAAAACTGAGAGCGGACCCGGACCGAAAGTGACGAGATTTTACTCCATTTATCATGAATTGTTTCAAAAGTTTTAAGAGTGCATACTTTTTTAAACACTCAAGCATAGTTTCGAGCAAGAAATGCGAAGTATTAACCTCAAAAGATATCAGGGTAACATGTCCCAGTATGACAGCACGGCGTCCGCTTCGGTCCGGGTTCGATTCTCTCCAAGGCTTCGGGCAACTTGAAGGGAGATGATATGCCGTGCCGAGTGCAGGTGTCGCATTCTCTACTCTCTAATGCGAGACATGTCATTCTTTTCTAAAAGGAGTCCTACTTTTTTTGCAGTACAGGCCGCGTGTTTGAGTGGTTACGATTGTCACAAGTAGGGGGTGGGGGGGACTGGTTGAGGCAAAGCAACTTGACAACAACATTCTGAGACGACGGGGAGGAGACAGGGAACCCTCAAGGAACCTTCAAGGAGCCCACATAGTGCGCCGTCGAACCTGCGAACGGCGGAGAGGTTTGGGGCGTTCCACTGTGTGCACCCAATGCTGACCGGCGTATGGCCCGAGAGAGGAGATTTAAACAAACCAAAAAAGAGGTCTCGTCGGAAAACATGCCCTTAGCAGAACTCCTAAAGCCGCCAAACTCTTTGATGCAAAGAATGAGCAAAAACAGTTAAAAAGCTGTCAAGCAGAGGTCTACTTTTTAGAAAGAAATTCCGGATTTTAACGGCTGCGACCCGTGACTGCACGCTAAGCGCATGCCATCTGCTTTTGCCCTTCTGGACTTGAATCTGGCTCTGTGCCAAGACCGCACCCGTAAAATCCGGAATTTCCCCACCACAGACCCCTGCCGACGAAAATTCCGTGTCCCGATCGCACGCTAGAACACTGCCCCGCCTGGAAAGAGCGCACAGCCGGAGCGAACGCTGGAGGGCGCTCGTCCTCTTTTCGTCCGATTCCGCTCCGGTCGTGTCCGCGTGCGTGTTGCACCTAGGCAGCCCCACTCGGCCCATCTCCCTTCCAGCCCAGCCTTCTGCACGGCCTTCTGCACAGACTTGACGGCGAGGTCGCGTACTCCCCGCTCGTCCGACTTACCCAGCCAGGTGTTCGCCGGTGTCCATGCTCAGGCAGCCAGCGCCGCCGCCGAAGCCGTAGCCCTTGGGGCCGTACTTCCGGGCGTGGCAGTTCTTGCAGTAGAGCTCGCCCTCGTGCTCAGCGCAGTTGGTGGAGTCCAGCATCTTGTTGCACATGCCTGCGGGGCAGGGTGGGGTTAGTTGGTGGCCAGATGGAAGGCGGTTCACGGCCGTACCGTCGTGCACCCCAAAAATGACTTCTTGGATCAAGAAAAATTTAACTTTTCTTGTTTTATTTTTCAAGAAAACTTTTCTTTATCCAAACTTTTTTTTTTCTTGTACGAAGAAAACTTTTCTTGTGTCAAGATTGTTTTCTTACAAAAACCGAGAAAGAACATTACAAAAAAAACCAAGAGACCATTTTTCTGGGTGTGCCCGTGTTTTTAAATGCAAAGTCTCCAGATGGTCGCCTCGGCCTCGGCGAGGCCTACTCACCGCATTTGAAGCACATCTTGTGGAACTTGAAGCCACCGGCCACCTTCTCCTCGGCGGCGTATACGGACTTGCCGCATTTGGGGCACTTGGGGTTGTCAGCTGGCTTGAAAGGCATCTTGGCCTGTTTTTAGTGCGGTCTGAAACAGAACAGGAAAACGTCTCTTTATTTTCATCGAGTTTTTTTTTTCGAGGGTAGGGAAGGGGAAGGGGGAGGCAATCCATTAATTTTCTAGAATAATGACATCGTGAATCATCGCTGCCTGCAGCACGCCAAGCGAAGCCTGTCTCGCGGTCGCCCCGCATCGCTGTGCATCGCCCTGCACGCCGCGCGCTTTGAGACGCGCCCCGACCCGCGGTACTTACAGTGGAGGGCGACGCGCCCTCAGAGCCTTCAGCTTCCGAGCCTTCCGAGCCTTCAGAGCCTTCAGGGCACTGGCGGAGAAAATCTAAATTTAGCGCCTTCTTTTCGCATGGGATTTCTCTCAACGCTCCGCATCGCACGGTTCGGCCCCGCCCCCACCCCCACCCCGTCAGACGCCCCCCCCCCTCCCCCTCCTAAGCGTCTCTGGCGCGCGGCCAAGCGTCGGGACGCTTACGTAATATGCGGACCGAGGGAACAGGAGGAGAAGGGAGGGCTGTAACCAAAAATGGATGCAGCCAGGTAAAGATGGGTGGCTACGATTTCCCACTCGCGCGCCGCCCCCCCCCTCCCCCCTCGCCCCTTCGCGTGTTTTGCTCGGCGCGTCGACATTGTTGCGCCCCCTCCCCCTCCCCCTCCCCTCCCCCTTCGCACCTGCGCGCCAGACAAGAGGTGTGCTGAGACATTTACTTTCGGCCGCCGGCACTCGCCCACACCCGCCGCACCTGACAAATGCGTCGGTTTATTTCGCGTGGATTGTCCTGGCAGGTCGGCCGAGCAGACTCAGACTGGGCGCCGTGGCCCGCGGTGACCCGCGTCTCGACCGGCGCGCCCTCGCCAGCCACGGAGCGGACGACGTGGAAACCTCCCACACACCGGAAAACTGGCTAGGCCCCTGACTGCGTGGCCGGCGAGCCGGATTCGGATCCGGATTCGGATTCGCTCGGCGCGGCCGAGCTTTTGAGACGGCAGCCCCTGCCGGCACGCTGCCAGAATGCGGCGGTGGGCGGCCGGGCGGCGCCGGGCGGCCACACCCTGAACTCCCCCTGCCCTTCACCCGCTGCGGCTTCGAGAAGGCCCCCTCGCGGTACGCGGTACGCAACGCACCGCGACGCCCAGCCAGCCTCATCCCTCAAAGTGACGCTGGCGTTACCGAAGCCGGCCGCCGTTGCGTCACCGGCCTTCCCCGCGATGCTCGCGATTCAGCACCAAAGTGCTGCAGCCGAGCGGTTCCGCAGAGCCACTGCGAACTATCGAACGCAGAGCTGCCGGCGCGTCCCCCGGCGGATCCTTGGACGCGGTCGCACCTGTCGCACTCGCGGTCGCACACACTGGAGGACACGAGACTGAGGTGATGCCCTCCGCACTGCACTGCCCCGAAGGCGCGGGGTATCGCCAGCACACACTGCAGCACTGCTTCTTCGATAAAGTCCCTGGCGCGGGGCGTCTCTAGGCGTCTCCGCACAGCCACTACACTAGCACCACTGCGGGCCTGCAGGCGTGGAAGCACACTTGGAAGCGATGCGTATCCGAGGGGAGGCGAAGCGGGCCGCCAAGTTGGAACTTCCACGGAAGTGGCACTGGAGGGCTTGGTGGACGGCGGGCCGGCCGGGCGGCGCAAGCTACTCGGCGGCGGGCTGGCCAAGGCGGGCTGGCCAAGGCGGGCTGCTGGCTGGGGCGTACCTTTAAGTTTCGATATTCGTTGGGTAGCGGCCGGTCGCTAGTGGTTCGGTGTGAGCCACTACACTCCAATCTAGCGCGGTCGGCACTAGACTACCTCAGGGTACAGTTTCGAATGGCGCCGGGGGGTTCGGGGGCCCGCTAGTCTTTCTCCCAGCTGCACACGGCCCGGGGCCCCGCCCCCACCCCGCCCCCCCCCCCCCCCCCCCCCCCCCCCCGGCCCGAGCGCCGCCGCCCCACCCCCAAGCGTGCGGCCGCCCACGGTTAGGCCGCTGTGCCGACGCCGTCCCCACTGCCGTGGCCCGGCCAGCCAGGCCAGCCAGCGCTCTGTCTCTCTCGCACTCGCGGGGCGTTCTGTCGGGCTGCGAGAGAGACAGAGCGGAGTCGGTCCGGCTGGCGTCGCGTGCATCTGGGTAGCAACAAGCCCCCCCCCCCCCCCCCTTTTCCACTTCCCCTCGGCTTCGCCGCAAACTCCGTTCACACCCCGGTCCGGTCCTCTCACAGCGCCGCCTGCCCCTTCCCTCCCCACGGGGGATCTTCCTGCCCCCCCCCCTCCCCCCCCCTCTCGCCCCGCCACCCGCATTCTGGATTCAAGCGGCCACTTCGAATCAATCGCTGCGGCTGATTGGTCGAGGGCGGACTGGCGGACCAGTGTGTCGCGGCTCGACGCGGCGCTGGCGGCGGGGTCGACGACCACCCAGACTCGGCTGGCGGGGCGGGGCGGGGTGGGGCGGGGCGGGGCGGCCCGACCCAAACAATAGCGACGCCGTGCAAAGTGCACTGTTGCCCACAACAACACACAGCGTCGTTCAAGGCGGTCATGCACCTGCATAAAGCCATTGCACCGCCGCAAGAAATGCTCTCGGCATGAAAATAGACTGTTTTCAGTCATGGCATAGTCTGATCGTTCGTGTTTTGAGGGGACAGCGGGGTTCGCATGGGCGTTGCGTGTGCGTGAGCTGTCGTGCACGACGGCCTGGTGCAGTTTACGTCTTGGTGGCTGCCGGGAACATCAATGACGAACCGTCTGTGCACGCCCCGCCCCCCCCGCCCCGCCCCGCCCCGGCCGGACCCACCTCCTCCACGACTACAACGACTGAGTGATGACCCGGCTCTCTCTGTGTTCCACGCCACCGTAAAGTAATGCCGGTGCCGACTGAGCCGCGCGGCGGATGAGTGTGTTTTGATTTACTGGTCACAGCACCAGTGGCCGAGGCTGCCGAGGCCTGTCTCTCTCGCACTCGCGGGGCGCGCCGCTCGCGACGCTTGCGGTGCGCGAGGGACAGACCGACGGGGCGGCCCGGCTGCCCGCACACCTCGCGGACGCGAAGAAGAGCGCTTTGTCCCAGAGCCGCGTCGCCGCGCGTCGCCGCCACCAGCATATGGCTTTGTTTTTGTTGGGGCACTTTTTTTACAGAGTAGCCGCGGCGGACTCGGCGGAATGCAGGTTGGTGTATTTCGGGCGGCCGGCGTCGCGGCGTCGGCAAGCGGTGGGTCGCCGGCTAGGTCCGATATGGGTATGACCATTGGTGAGACCGGCCGGACGGCAGGCTCGAGAGGAAGGGTCGCGTTATGGGTCGGCCGGGTCGGACGGGGCGTCGCCGGCGAGGTCCGATATGGGTATGACCATTGGTGAGACCGGCCGGACGGCAGGCTCGAGAGGAAGGGTCGCGTTATGGGTCGGCCGGGTCGGACGGGGCGTCGCCGGCGAGGTCCGATATGGGTATGACCATTGGTGAGACCGGCCGGACGGCAGGCTCGAGAGGAAGGGTCGCGTTATGGGTCGGCCGGGTCGGACGGGGCGTCGCCGGCGAGGTCCGATATGGGTATGACCATTGGTGAGACCGGCCGGACGGCAGGCTCGAGAGGAAGGGTCGCGTTATGGGTCGGCCGGGTCGGACGGGGCGTCGACGGCGAGGTCCGGCCAGACAGGCGTCGCTGACGGCGCGGCGCGGCCAGGTTCTGCCACGAGCACGGCCTCCACGGCCTCCACGCCGCGGGGAGGCGGCATGACGGGCATGACGGAGATGTAGGCCGACGGGCTGACGGGGCGCTACACTGTCGGCAACGCGCAGCACACTCATTCCAAGAGTCGCTTTCGTCGCCAAAAACCCTCTCGGACACTCGCGGCATGCTACCAGTTCACTTTTAACGGGGACCTGAACGCGGGGAACTTGCCCTGCGATTCCGATAAAGCAAGCAGCTGTGATAAGGAACCCCGGCGTTCAACTCACCGACGAGCCGACCCGACTACCAAACGTTCCCCAAAAGACAGCGAGTCAAGGTTGGCCTGGGCCAATAATTCTAACTTCAAATGTCTAGAAGGTGATAGTACTTTGCGTCTGGAATTCCACGAACTTATTTTAAAAAATATTTTAAATGTTTTTGTCGGTTTAATTTAGGTAGGTCAAAATGATCTGCCCAGGCCAACCTCCATCGCACCTCAACGCGCACGTTGGTTAAGTGGAGCTCGACGCACTTGTAGGCGAGGCGCTGTGTGGCGCTGCGGGGCGCGGCCTAGGCCCCTACGCGCGTCACCTTCAACCCTGTCGAGCAGCAGCCCGGGGTGGCCCTGGTCGGTTAGGGGAGCAGCTGGCATGCAGCTGCAGTGTAGCCACCTGGGCGCGCGCCGCCCGGCCCGGCCCGCCAGGCCCTCGGCCAGGCCCTGCACTGCACCATGGTCGCGCCGCCCGGCCCGGCCCGCCAGGCCCTCGGCCAGGCCCTGCACTGCACCATGGTCGCGCCGCCCGGCCCGGCCCGCCAGGCCCTCGGCCAGGCCCTGCACTGCACCATGGTCGCGCCGCCCGGCCCGGCCCGCCAGGCCCTCGGCCAGGCCCTGCACTGCACCATGGTCGCGCCGCCCGGCCCGGCCCGCCAGGCCCTCGGCCAGGCCCTGCACTGCACCATGGCCACGCCGTCCACCTTCCCCACCTTCTCCTCGAGCATCCGGCCCGCGCAAAAAAAAAAAAAAAAAAAACTCGTCGGAGATTTTAGCCGGAAAATCCAAGACAAAAACCCCTAAAAAATTAATTTAAGAAAAAAGTAAGTGTCGTTTTATTTGTTTCATTTTCCACTGGCCATTCGGCCATTCGTTTCCGCGGGGTGACACCCGTACCTGCCTGTCCTGTCCTGTCGACGTCCCCGGCGACGTCCCCGACGACGGCCCTCGCTTTTTCTCGCGCGACACAACGCGTGGCGGCGTAGCGGCCAGGAAAAATGGGCTGGCGATTGCCTGGGGCCGACTCGCACCATGGGCGAGACGAAAGTAGGCGAACTCGACATGGGCAGACTCATTCCGAGAGTCCTTTCCGTCGCTCTGTCTCTCTCTCATCCATACGGGACGCCCTGTGAGTGCGAGAGAGACAGAGCGACGGAAACGACTCTCGGAATCAGTCTGCTGCAGGGGGTGTCATTCAAAACGGGGGGGCTTTGCCATCGCACCGATACACCGGGCAAACGGGCCAGTCCGGTGTGGCTGCCTAGGTTCATTGTTCTAGGCACACAGTGCAGGCACGACGGACCCAATCTATTTTCCCCTCCCCGAGTCCTGACCTTGGAGAAGGTGGACTCTGTTGTTGGGGCGCAGAGCGCGCGAGCCAGTACGTTGCCTGTGTGAGTGAGTGAGTGAGTGAGTGTGTGTGTGTGTGTGTGTGTGTGTGTTGTGTGTGTGTGTGTGTGCTGCGCTGAAAGCCAGATGACAGCTGCCGATACGGCTGTCTACTTATGAGCGATGCGTTCCCGCCCTTCGTTAGCCGGGCGAAGAAAAAATGTTTACCGTTTGGGGGTCTTTACCGCCCCACGGCCACGCAGTGTGTGAGCGTGTGTGTGTGTGTGTGTGTGTGTGTGTGTGTGTGTGTGTGTGTGTGAGCGTGAGTGTGTGCCGGCACTCTTCCGCGCGCGGACGGACAGCCTGGCCCGGCAGCAAGGCCTTCCAATAATTAGAATATTTCTTGACACAAGGCCAGCGTCACCAGAACCGTACCTGCCCGAACACACTGAATTTATTATCATCCCACCACTGTGCCACCACACCAACCAGCACCACCAGCAGCACCAGCAGCGTGGGCCTTGCGTCACGGTGCCGGTGTTGCCCTTGGCAGGAGAGTGTTTTCGCCTGAAATAAATAAGAAAGAATAAAACGAAGGGGGTCGCGTTACACTGGCGATCCTACGCGTAATGCTGAAGGGGGGAGGGTCAGAACAGGGGTGTGGCAGGGGAGAGGGGGGAAGAGAGAGAGAAAGGGGGGAGGCGATGTTGTTGACGAAAGGGCGTGGGGAGGGGCACAATAGGGGTTGAAACCTGTTCGTTTGGAAGTGAAAATCTAACAAACTTGGCAGCTAAAGGTGAGCAAAACAAGACCAGAGATAATGGAGACGGTCCGGGGACAGTTTTAGAGGCCGCCGCACCACTGTACAACTGTACACGCGAGGCTGGGGGATGCGCGTGGATTTCCCGAACATTTTTTTTTGGCAGCGCGTACAACGGCTTGTTTTACGACTTGTCTCATGATTTTCCTCGTACACTCCCTTTTACGATCCCAGCCCGATAAAAAAATCTCATCCGTCTCGTAGTAAAAGACCACCACTCTTTAGCACAATCCCAGTGTGCTGTTCGCATTGTTTCAAAGCGTTTCCTTCTTCTTTTCGTTTCTCCTGGTTTTGGCAGAGCTAGCCTTCTTCCAGCGAGCACGTCTACGTCACGTACGTGTCGGGCTGGGGCTCGTCGACGCGTCCCTCGCGGCCGAGGCCCGGCCGAGGCGGTGCGCGGCCGCGCGAAGAACGTCGCATCTTGACGGAATTTCCCCAGCAGTTAGCGTGGCAGTGTGCCGCCGGTGCCAAGCCGGTCCTCCTCCTAGTCCCCGCGTCCGCGCCCCGCCTCGCTCCGCCCCGCCCCGCGGCTCTTAGAATAGAGCGGCAGTCGGATTTAGTCTTCTGAGTCAACTACCCTTGCCATATTTCAAGCGGCGCGCGCTGCGGTCGGGCTGCGTTCCGAAGTCCCAAAGCTCCGAAGTCCCAAAGCTCCGAACCGCCTGGTGCCGATTGGTTGCTCACGACGCTGAGGGCATCGGAACGCATACCGGAGGGTGGCGGCCCGGAGCAAGCCATCGCTCTGCACATCAAACGCCCCGCCCCGCCCCGCCCCGCCGCCCCCCTGCCCCGCC